AAAGAGTGGGCCAATATAACCTCTTGTATGTACCACCCAGTAGAGTTTCTGAAGCCCATGCCAGAGTGATAAGTAAGGTGCAACATCAGTCAATCCTCATTACATACACTGATATGCAGATAAAAGTATCATCAATATAAGACATTCATCATACCAAGCACAAAGTACCATTTTAATTTTTATGTTGATACAGAGCTTTGTCTCTCAAATATTCTTCTAAACACTGAATTGCAAAAGGGTCAACATCTGTGTCAAATTTGTTAGCAAAGAAGTGGTGTTTCCACAACATCCCGTTTAAATCCCCCACCCCAAACACACACACAGAACGGACATGAATTCCATGGCATGGTGGATAGGGAGCACCGTTAAATACATCCCCTTCGAAGTACTGCCACTTCACAAATCTGGCAAGGGCATTCATGTCAGAAACATCATACTTATTGCTGGAAGAAACTGCACCTGGAACTTCCGGGATTCTTTGAATAGTAGCCCACAAGTATTCATCAGGGCTATATGTATCTTTAGCCCATTCAATAAATTTAAGGATTTTGCTGTTTTCTAACACATACGCTACAAATCTCCTACTAACAACAAAATAGGCACTGCCAGAAAAAATAGGTGTACTAAGAGGTGGTAGTTTTTTGTCTACACCCGTGTTTTTCAGCTTTCCGTCAACAATTTCATAATGGTTTTTCCATCGTACTTCTTTGTTTGGAGGCATTTTCTCAGTTTCTAAACTGTTTTCACCCTTTAAAGCTTTCAATTTCTCTACAATTTCCTCATTGGTTTTAATGGGAAAGTCCATGCCACAAAGATTTATCAAATATTTCCATTTTGTATTCCTCCTGTAGAGGTCTTTCATGCAGTTAAGGTCTGCTTGTACCCTGCTCCATGATGCATACACTACACTTTCCGTTTGGCTGGCAATAAAGACATTATCAAAACATGATGCAATTCCCTTCACTGCAGCCAGATAAGATTCAGGAGACTTTTTGTCCACATGAATGCAGTAGTAATTCTGATGAGTATAGATTGACCTTAGAAGTCTCTCAAACATATCAATTTTGTGATAAACCACTATTGAATAGGCAATAGGAAATTCAGCTTCTTCTTTGCTGAGGGGTTCCATAATATACTTCCGCATCCTGATGAAGGAAGTGCAATCTGTTGTCATATTAATATAATCATTTGCTGTCAACTTATGGCGTTGTTTAAATGACATGGATAACATCTCAAGCTTTACTTTTTGAATTTCCTCTGTATCACCATGCAGTATCTTGGTGCAGTTAATATGGCTGGCAGGGTCTTCACCAGTCAGGTACAAATGTCTGTAATTTAAGTGGTCTGGCTTCTGGTTGATTTTTAGAACAGAAAATACTAAGAAAGACAGAATTAGCACCAGAAGGAGAAGCCTAAGACTGTGACACTGACGAAGTTTTCTTTTCAGCATTTCAAACATCAGATTACTTCTCTTTGCTAAATAATTTTCTCTGGATACTTGAACTCATACCCACTTCAGCAAGTCGTTAATTTGCATTCCTCGTAAGTCTGCTGTGTTTGCATCTTGGGAAACTGAAGGAAAACCCTAAAAGACAGAAGTGAAATAGAAGAAATCTTTCAGACATTTTAAAAGTAGCTTAAGTAGGTTAATTTAAACATCTTTGTTACATACTGGTGAACCGGTTGAGTGGGGAAAAAAGGGATTCTTGAAATTACAGAAGGCATATTAAATAAAGCTTGTCAAAGTTTAGATTGGTAAAAAATTAAATGAAAATAGCCAACTTCTCATGCATGTGTTCTCCAATTTTGTGACCAGCTCTAGTACTGCATCCCCAAATTCAAAATCTTAGTTAATGAACATGCAACCTTTCCTGCTATGTTAGTGAATGATTTTGGTAACATTTATTTAAGTAATCAACTACTGAAACTGCTGAATTCCTTTAAAATTATTAGCACTTTAAAACAAAATATGAAGATCTTTTGTAGAGATGGCTCATTCAACTCTGAACAAGTAATTCAGCTAGCCAACCAGTAATTCAGAGTTTTGCATCATTCTGAAAAATGCAACGTGTTCAAGGCTAGTAACTTTTAAAAGTTTTGTTCGCATTTTAATTTACCACTCATTTTCTGGAGACTAATTTCACACTTCACCCTCATTTGTAACGTGGCCCATATGTAGATTCAGCATTTCCTTCTTGTGACATACACCTCTAAACATTCTGAAAAGGGAGGATGGATGTGTCTCTAGGCGATCTGTCAGGAAAAATCTGAAAAATAGGGAAAAATACTTTAGATGACTACCATGCTAGCGGTCAGAAAACTCGTGTAGACAGCTCTCAGACTGAAATGTTATCATTATCTTTACAGCTCTGTTCTGGAGAATTATTTAAATTGCACCGACATGTCTGTAAGCATCCAAAAGTACAGCTCTTAGTAATGATGTAATGCAGTGTTTTTCAACCATTTTGGACTTGAGGCACCCCTCCATAACTTCTGTGAACTGAATGGCACCCAGTTTCAAAAACTAATTTATATATTACCATGATTACCACCTTGCAGAAGGGCTGAGTAGTAGGAGTGGGGGTGGGGGACTGACCAGGCAGGAACAAGCCTGAGCCTGCCTTTTATCTGCTCATCTCCTTGTTCCTGGAAGCACCTTTCAAAGTACCTGACAGCACCTATGGATGCCACCATACCCTGGTTGAGAACCACTGATGTCATACATAATCTATGATATAACTGAACAAATGCAGCCCTGCAACATCAAATCAAGTGTCTTTCCTTTCTTTCATGTACAATTCTCAGTGGTTTTATTTAGTAGGATTCTGTTTTGCCAGCAGATCTGCATCGCACATCAAAGAAACAGGCATTTGAGGGGCCAGTGCCACGCTATATGCTGACTGAAATGTTCCATCATCCTCCCAGAAAAAAAAAAAACCTAAACCCACAAGTCAGTCAGCCCATTGTACTGTGTGCAGGCACAGTGGCTGTGCAGTCGAGGTATCTCTGGATCCATACTGAAACAAGAGTTTGAGCACAGCTCCAGATTTCTGCTGGCTGTCCCCAATCTAAACAACTTGTAAACTGTTGCCTGGCTAAAATAATATGGCATGATGAAGCTCTGTGGGGAGGTACCAAGGCTAGCTCCAAATCAACCAGTCTGAGTACCAAAAGAAGTCCATCTGGGTTTAGTGCAGTACTTTCCCCAGGCTAATAATCCCAGCAGGGCTAAGGGTGAGATTATACATTTGAGAGAGCAGGTGCTAATTATAAGGAATGTTAGTAAATGTTAAGGCTAGCGAGTGCTGGTGATCAGTTATATGTTAACAGTTAATGGTTTGTAGTAATGATTTTCTTTGTTTACATAATTCATAGGTTTCCTACCTTCATATTTGACAGCTGTTTTGCACATGTATAAATCAAGTTCCGGTCTTACCCAAGTCTGCACTGTTCAGTTTCATATTTCAATATGAACAAGATTTTGCTTGTAATTCCTCCAAATACAATAGGTAAAGATTGGCTATTGGATTGCCCTGCAGTATATGCTAATCAGCCAAGCACAGATGCTAATATGAGGGCCCGCTTACTGTACACGAAACAAATTAATAGATAATTTAGCTGTTTAGTTTTTGATGTTACAGTCATGATGATACAGCATGTTAAACAGTAGTGGATCAGTTAAAAAGCCACCAGATTCTTCTAAGTGAAAGAGCACCATCCCAAGTACCAGGGATTCATGCATGCACCTGGTATTGATAGCTGGTATTTAGTAAAAATCAAGATGTTTAACTACCCTATTAGTAAGCAGACGTATATTATGAAATCGTTTTGGGGGAAGGGTTCAAACACATATTGCCTACAATGAAAACACTAAAATACATGCAAACTGGAGGACTGTTATAAATAAATTTAAAATCAATTACATTTGGACCAGTTTTCAGATACCTTTGACTACATACCTACCAACCCCACAAAAATTAAAGTCTTTTGTAGAACTTCCATTCTTTAAGGTTTCAGAAAGATTACTGAGAGCAGAGTTTAAACTACGGCTGCCCACCTTCTAAGCACCCATGGGCTAAACGACCCATGGGGCACACCAACAGAGGCCAAAACAGAGTGAGCCACAGGTCCTCAGCCATCCCCACACTGCACTGGGTAGAAGTCCACTGCTCCATGCACCTGTGACACTCCTCTCCTGCACTGCTGCGCTATATACTCACAGGGAGGCCTCACTGTTGCACCACGTCTGTGCTCCCCAATAGCGCTGCACCATTCACCTGCATGGCCCCAGGCTCACCCTCAGCTTCCCAGGCTGCCCAGGAAGACAGGCCAGGCAGGAGGCTGCAACTTAACTCTTTGTTAAATTTGTGGGCTGCATGGATTCTGCAAGCTGCCAGATGGAAAGCCCTGGTTTAAACAATATCAGTATTCCTAGAAGCTTTTAGCAAAAGCCAAAGGTGGTTTTTCCCTTACACAGTATGTACAAAGATACACCCCACACAAGCCAAAACACACCCAACGGCCTTCAAACATAAAATCGATGTGGTAATAGAGCTCTTTATATATTGGCTTCTCTCTTCAAGGAATCTATTTTTTATTTTAAGAAGTTGAGTTAAAGCCTAAATATTTAATGTTGTACTTCGGTAACTTTTTCTAACAGCCCAAATTTCACAAACCAACACCTCCTTTTTTTTTTACTTCTACTTTAGCACAAGGGATTGCTGTGCCAGCATACAAGTCAATTCCCTGAAGTGGAAACAGCAACTTGAAAACATATCAATAAAAATCTCCCTTTAGTTTTTTTTCTTTAGGCCAAACAAGTTAATTCTCCCTCTTCTCCAGGAAGTGGTCTGAACAACTTAGATGGCTACAGAGACCATAGTCTGAAAGAGTTGACATTTTCAAGATTTCAGGTTCTTACAGATTTAAAAATATTTCCAGAAGAGATAAAGGCACCAACTTTTTATGGTGAAAAAGGGAGAGAGGGAAAGAAAACGCAAAGAAAATAACTGCATTGAATCAGATCCCTTGGAATTTGACTATAAATGGTTATGTATCATCTTGTAATAAAAAAGTTTCCTGAGAGCGTTCTAGCTGTATCAGAATATAGGTTCATTACAACAGAAATATATTCATATCAGGGAGAAAGATAATTATCATGTTTTACTAATTTGTTTAATTATAATGGGATTATATGTTAATATATACACACACTGTGCACATACACACAATTTTGACTAGCAATGACAATTCTCAATGTCAGGGATGCAACTGAAGCAAGGTTGGCAGAAAAATACACAAATTAAAATAAATCAAATTCCTTTCATATCCATGCACTTGTAATTCAGTGTAGTTGGCCTAGTTATAATAATGGTGCTTATTATGTACAGGGAAGACAACACAGGATGGACAGAGTACTTTTCCTTGGATTTACTGTAGACACAGTAAATGAAGTCTGTCACAGATCACCTCTAACTATCATTTCTACTGCTTTGCTCAGAAATGAAGTTTCTCATCGATACCTGCTAGTATACATAAAGCATTCTTCAAACATTCTTTCACCAAAATGTCATAAACACCTGCCTTCACACACCCACTTAGCAGAAGATTAGAGGGCACTGTGGTAAAATGCCATACACAGGCTGTATTATAGCTTCTAAAGACCACTCTATAAACATGCCATGTTTCTTATCATCTTCCCCTAAGCATCTGCTACTTGCTACTGTCAAGACATAAAATATTGGGTTAACTGGAACCTCTGTCTGACCCTTTATGGTCATTTCCGTGTTCTCGTGCAGAGGATTGCCAGTACCACAACAGACAGTATTCAACCCATGCACCATGGAATGCACCAGACACACAGTTCATGCTATAGATGAATATTGCTGTTTAACACCTTCAGCTACTACACTTTGCAAAGAGCATAGCTTGCTACATAATCTGTCCTGGTACAATTTATGAGAAGACTCCTTTTACAGCTGTACTCACATGTACAGCGTGTACTCACAGCGTGCTGTACTTTGTTGTATTTTTTTCCATCTCTGGTTGCCAAAAGCTACTGTTTACTCTACCTGTGGTTAGAGTGCTGTTGCATGTGATACTTTTACTGTTCAATAATCACACCCTTCTTTTCCATTATATGTAGTTCAAAGACCTAAGACTGATCAGTGTTACAAACTGTTCTGTTCTGTGAACGGAAACACACTGCCCCTTCCAAACACAGGAATCTTGTAATTATGCTAAAGACACGAAATTGGCTGTGAACTGCACTTGCAAGTCTTCTGTGACATCCCCTGTGCTATTTAATGAATGTCTTTCATCTCTGCTCTTCCCTTACTCTATGATCATCTGTTTTAGCACTTGCATTCTACTCTTAAAAGGCTGAGAGCCACTTTTTCCATAATCAGGGCACTGCACCACAACCTCTCTGAATTTGGTGGCCTTGGGTAAGAACCACTGTTGTACTGCCTCCATTTACCTTAGTGGTTATCAAATAGGGTGCTGCTCTATGCTCTTGCCTCTTTAAGGTTTTCTGATAAAGCTAAGGCAAGCAGGGGAAGAAACATAACTCATGAGTTTCATGCCCAGGGCAAAACTCCTCTATGTTGCTGGGGGGAGGGTTGGGGTAAGGGGGGGAAAAAAGTGAGAGATGGGAGAAGGACACCTGCCCTGGGTGTCCTGCAAAGGGGCTAACTCCAGCTAAGCCTAGCTACCTGGACAGGCAGCACAGAGGACTTCTACTGGGTGGCGGGCTAGCCTTGCTCTTCCCAGCTCACATACGTCCTTTAGCTCTTTAATCTGGTTCCCCAGTAACAGTTTTTTCCCTGGGCTCAAACACACAGGCTCTAATGCCCTGGGTTCTTCTGCTTTCCAGGGCTCAGCCAAAAGATAAAAACAAATTCAAATAAACACACCCTTAACTTGGGCCCAGCAACACAACCTTCAAAACCCTGGGTTAAACTGCACCATGGGGCTCACTTGCAAATCTCAAACAATCCAAAAAAACCCCTAAACACTCCCAGCGTGGGCTAGTTCTCATCCTGTAATCTTCCTTTGAAGCATCCTCCCTCTCTATGAAACCAGTTTCCCCTCAAGGCCCTCCTCCATTCACGTCCTCTTCCTTTCCTTTTATATCTGGTCAGCCAGTCAACTTCCCCTCATAATTGCTGATTGCCTGCTGGCTGAGGACCTTTACATGGGTGGCTTCTGGCTGGCAGATTCACTGATTCACAAAGTTTAGGGCTGGAAGGGACCTTGTGAGATCATT